TCTACTAAAGTAGAAAGTCTCACCTTTCTCCTGTGAAACAGCTGGTGGGTATAAACTGCTGACGTTGTGGTTAACAGCCCAGTTCATAACCATTAGCCATTAGGGCTTCTGCTAATAATTTCTTAGATCTTTTAGAATTACTTTTTCCTGTTAAGGAACTTTCCCCATATAGAACTTCATACTTTTTATCAGATTTATTTCTAGAAATTTGATGCTTAATATTTTTTGAAATTATTACCAATATTTTCTGCATAAACCAGCATTTTCTCTTTAGTGCTAAAATATATATAATTGATTTTATATATTGATTTCTGTGTCAAATAACCTTACTGAGCACTTATTAATATTTATAATTCATCAGTTGCCTATTGTGTATTTCCTATATATGCAATGGTATAATCTGTGAACACTTTTATCCATATTTCTTCTTGTCTTACTCTACTGCCTTGAACGTACAGTACAATGTTGAATAGAATTAATGATAATAGATGTTCTTGTTTCCATTATTTGTTTCAGGAAGAAAAAAGTTAATATCGTATCCAAAGATAGTAGCTATAAATATTTTCGAGATAGTCTTAGGATAATAAAGAAGGTCCCTTCTATCCCCATTTTGTAATGACTTTAAGGAGACTCGGGAGGAAGAGGACGTAATTAAACATCTCAGGCTTGCATACCTATAGCACAATGTTCCATAGGGACACTCAGGCCGGTCATCAGCCTCATCGTCTTCCTTCATGACCGGGACATCTCCATAGTCACTATCCCCTGGATGGCTGAAGTGTTGGAAGTGGACAGGGTTCTTCCTATCAGGGTAACAAATATACTGTCAGAAAAAATAATAATAATATGTAAATATTTTTACAAGCTATAGCAAGAAACCAAGTCGTGCACACCTGATTACTACTGAAACAGTATGTTCCCTTGTTAAAGGCAATGCTCATGATGTCTAGTCAGTATAGGACTCCCATAGTGACACTTCAGATTCTCAGTGGTCCCTGAATCAAACTTTGATAATGAATGCTTCAAAATGATATATTAGGACCCAAACCAAACAATCGTGTCAATTCAAACAAGGGGGGTCGAAGTGGAGACCCAAAGCCCATCTATAGACAATTGGACATTCCCTCACAGAAGGGTCACAAGGAAGGGACAAGCCAGCCACGGTGCAGTGTATCACCAATGAAACACACAACATTCCTCTAGAACTTTAGTGCTTTCTCCCCCCTACTATCAGGACCGCAGTTCTACCTTACAAATCTGGCTAGACCGTAACATGTACACTGGTACAGATAAGAGCTCTCCACACATGGAATTGAGGGGGGAAATGATATATTGGTTTTATTTCTTATTTAAAAGGAAATAGTAGTATTTAGTAGGACATTTTTTGTCTAACTTCATGTTTATTGAATTAATCCATGCTGCTGCATGTAGCACAGTTCATTTTCACTCCTGCCTAATATCCCATTGTTTAAAGCTGCTATAATTTATCAGTTCTACGGTTGATGAACTTTTGGGATTGTTTCAGTTACTGGTTACTATAAATGCCACACACATTCTTTTAGTATACAATATGCATTCACTCTCTAGAGTATATTAAGAATGACCATAGGGCATATGGAAAAAAAATTTTACCACGTAAAAAGTATTCATTTTGCCATGTTTTATTTGCTTTTTTCCATTTTGCTGTTTTATAAATAATTTAAGGAGCTTTAGTGGTGTCATGTTTAAAGTGGTAAGGTGCTAACTGAAAGTCCCACAGCTAGAATCCATTATCTGCTTTGTGGGAGAAAGATGCGACAGCTTGCTTGTATAAAGGTTTGCAGCCTTGAAAACCCTAGATCTACTCAGTGCAGTAGGGGCGAGTCACAGCCAATCAGCTAAATGCCACTGTTGTCATTGTTCTTAGGTCCCACTGAGCTGATTTTCACTCAGAGCAACCCTACGTTCAACAGAACACCACCACCCGCTCCTGGGACATCCTCATCATGGTTCTCATGCTAGGGCCCATTGCTGCAGCTACTCTGCCAATCCAGAGGGCCTTCCTCTTTTTCACCGCCCCTCCGCTTTACCAAGAATGATTGTCTTCTCAAGGGGCTGGTCCCTCCTGATAACATGTACAAAATATGGGAGACCAAGCGTCACCACCCTTGCGTCTAAGGAGCATTTTGGCTGTACTTCCAAGACAGACATGCTTATTCTGGCAGTTCACTGTACTTCCAATATCCCTGGCCAACATCACAGTTCAAAAGCATTGCTTTTGACAGACATGCTTATTCTTTTGGCAGTTCACTGTACTTCCAATATCCCTGGCCAACATCACAGTTCAAACTGCACCCTGGCTGGCTTGTCCCTTCCTTGTGACCCTCTGTGAGGGAATGTCCAATTGTCTATAGATGGGCTTTGGGTCTCCACTTCGACCCCCCTTTTTTGAATTGACACGATTGTTTGGTTTGGGTCCTAATATATCATTTTGAAGCATTCATTATCAAAGTTTGATTCAGGGACCACTGAGAATCTGAAGTGTCACTATGGGAGTCCTATACTGACTAGACATCCTGGGTCTCCCTTATTCAAGGTCCAACTTTCACAGGCATATGAGGTGACTGAAAATACCATGGCTTCTGTCATCTGCACTTTAGTCCTCAAAATAACATCCCTGCTTTCAACACATTAGGAGAGTTGCCTCTACATGGTGCTTGAGTTGGGTGTCTGGTGTATGCTGGCTTCAGAAATGAGGTAACAAATATTATTTCGCTCCATTCCCTGGAAAACTGTGTGGGAATTGAGGTCACTTCTGTCCCTCAATAAAATGGTCTAATTCACTAGTGATAGCATTTTGGTCCATATTCCAAAGGCACGTTGTAGGAATATATTTAATTAAAGATTTCTTATTTTCAATAGGTATATTTTGGTTTTGTTTTTACTCTTAGGTCTCTTTGGTTATATATATTTTTTAACTATACAAATGGATGGATTTATTTCAAATTTTCCAATTCATTAACATGACATTGATCATAATATTTTCTGTTTCCAATGCTTGTGAGATTTTTAGTAAGGTTCTGCTTTTAAATTCCTGGTATTTACTGGTAATTTGTATCCCTTCCCATTGTTCTTTCTTCTTTTTTAATCTTTCTGAGATTATAAATAATTTTAGAATTGTCAAAGCATCTTTGGCCTTTCTAGTTCATTACTTTCTTCATTGTTTTTATTGTTTTCTGTTTGCTATACTTTCTTTGGGTTTTAATTTCTTATGGTGAATTTCAGCTTTCTCCTCTCATATATGCACATAAGGCTATACATTTTCCACCAAGTTAGTTTCAGGTACATCACGTATGTGGCTTGTTATGTTACATTTGCAGTATAATTTAGTTTAAGATGTTTTAAAATTACATTGTAACTTTTTCTTTTTATTCATGGGTTATACAGTAGCACATTGCTTAATTTCCAAAAACTTGGGAGGGATCATCTCATTTTACTACTGACTTTTAGTTTATTGCACAATGCTGAGAGAATACTCTATTTTTTTTAATTTGTTGAGGTTCATTTCATGGTCCAGGATATTTGGGGAGGTACCCCCAAAGTACTTAAAGTAATGTTTTCCTTCACTGCTCAATGTCTGAAATATATCACTCAAGTCAAATTTGTTCATTGTTGTACTCACATGTGTTCATTATTACATTAATCCCCAAATGTTTTGGAATTAAGCAATGTGTTTTTAAGTAACTTACGAATGAAAAGAGGAGACACTGGGTTTTCTGCTTAGGGTATGACTTAGACGTAGCTTATGTTAAAAATCTGCTCTACAATCCCAAGGAGAAAATAACGGGACCGACGGTGCCAAGGGGACAGGAGAGGTGGGGAGGTGCAGGAAAGGGAGGGGGAAGCAAACAAACCCAGGGACGAGGGAAAAAAAGATCAAAAATCGATGGTGAGGAAGGTGCAAAAGGCCTGGTGGGGTTTGATCAAGTGCAATGTAATGAGAGGAATTACTGAGAGACGAGTGAAGTTTGAACATGATAGTGGGACAGGAGAAAGTAAAAGGAAATAGAGGAAAGAACTAGGAGGCAAAAGACATTTATAGAGGTATAAATATAGGCATGTATATATGTATATATATTAATATATAACAATATGGATATAGATCAATGTACATATATTTATAGGTTAAATATTAAGGTAGCAGCAGATGGACATTGGGCCCCTACTCAAGTTCACCCTCAATGCAAGAACACTGTTCTAATAACCTGGTATTCTGTGATGCTCACCTTCCCAACAGGATCGCTGAAAACAAAATAGATCCATAAGCAAATGGGTAAGAAAACTTCACTTGACCTCTTGGTCCTCAGTCTGAACACTAAAAATGAGCAAATTATCAATAGAAGGGAAGTAGTCACCAAGTTTTGGTTGCCTTTGTAGTTCTCTGATAATTTCAAACATGTGTGCTCCACTTTTCTGGTTGGTCTCTGTAGGAGGTTTGATCTTTAACAAAGGTGAAAACCTTACTTTATATACTAATAACTCTGAAATAATTTATATGACTTTATGTAGATAAAAGCTACAGGTTTTAATTAAGGTACACATTTCTATAATGCTATTGAGAAATATCCAATTTCTGCAAGATTTTTAAAAGTAGTGTACTAAATGAATCACATACTATCAAACAGAACAATTCTAAAATCCCCAAAGAGTAATTTTTTTTTTAATTTTTTGAGAAGCAAAGTTTCTACAAAGTTATTTTTCTTCACAAAGAATAGATACAGATATAATTGATTTAGAAATAATGAATTTAAAGGGCCTATAGATGTAGGTAGTAAGTATTTGAATCTAAAACTCAGTACAGAAATGTGTGTGGAAGACAGAGATTTGGGAGTGAATTATCCCAAATGAGTGACTACATAGGAGCCCTGCTGGCAAAGTAACCTACTTTGAGCAGCTAACTGAAAGGTCAGCAGTTTGAAATCACCAGCTGCTCCTTACGAGAAAGATGAGGCTCTCTACTCCTGTAAAGAAACCCACAAGGAGATATGACAAAATAATAATTTATAAATTATCAAGGGCTCATGAGGGAGGAGGAAGCGGGGAGGGAGGGGAAAAATGAGGACCTAATGCCGGGGGCTTAAGTGGAGAGGAAATGTTTTGAGAATGATGAGGGCAATGAATGTACAAATGTGCTTTACACAATTGATGTATGTATGGATTGTGATAAGAGTTGTATAAGCCCCTAATAAAACGATAAAAAAAAAAAAAGAAAGAAACCCACAGGGGTAGTTCTCCTCTGTCCGACAGGGTTGCTGAGTCAGATTAACTGGATGGCAGTGAACGAGAAGTGACTACATAAAACTACCTTTAAGGAATTAATACTCCAGAGAGAGGCAGAGCAAGTAAGTAAATAATTAGATATCAAAAGTAGTCTTAGAAACAGTATGAGGTAGAGAAGAAATATATAGAATAGGAAATGAGCAATTTGGAGGTAAATAGATATGTCAGAAAAAGAATCAGAGAGGAGTTGAATAAGAGCAAGGGCATATGAACGGGGCAGGGGAGAGGCAAGGCATACAGCATGTCGGATGCAGAAGGCATAAAATAGCATGGCAGGTGCATGTAGTTCAAAAGCTATCTGGACTTTGGCTACTAAAAGATTCTGTATAAAGAACAATGTCAGATTTCCCCCCCTCTCTTTGACCTTATTTTTAATTTTCTTACCCAGATGGTTCATGCAATAATGAAGAATAACAATTTGGGAAATGTGAGAGGCTTCGGAGATTATGTATTCCTAACAGCATGAACGAAAGCAGTAGCTTTGTTGCTGGTAGTAATTTTGATGATGTGTATATAGAATAAGAACTCAATATTTGCTATGTGCTGCCCTTTGTTAAAAATATAAACATCTTTTCAATGATTCAATGACAAATATTTCTTAAATTTAAATATGAATTTTAAATCACTAACAAATTAAAATATCTATTTATAAGCTATGACTGATTAAAACTAATATGTACTCTCAACTATGAATGCATTCACTGCAACCTTGATGAAGCATGTCATCACCTTTAACAAAGACAAATGACAATGCCGAATGCCAAACAGGATTTTAGAAAATCCATAGTAATACAGTGTATATACTTTACATTTTATTCATTACGTAGCATGTGGAACTAAGACCATTCAAATAGACAAAATAGTACGTAAACACATAAATGAGAACTGGTGAAATTCATAAATGCTGTTATCCTAAGTGCTAAAGTGTATTTTAAAAGTGAGATAGGAGAAAAGAGAGAGAGGATGTAAAAATAATTTTAAAACTAAAGTGAGACCATCTACATCTGCAATCAGCAGCGATGGGCTGCACAACGCTATTCTGTGCCGTCCATCGGTGCTGGGCACTGTCGCCTTGGCTCTGACTCGGCAGCCCCGTCCAGCACAGTGAAAGACTGCCATCTTGAACCAGACAATCTTACGATTTACTTTACTGGGAACGACAGGATGGTATTCCTCCTTCCTATGCAGCTCTTAGCCCGGCAGCACTACTGAAACCTGTCTTCCCTGCGTTATCTTTCTAATATCTGAAATATGTGTAGCGTAGCTTCCAATATCTCTTGAACACACGTCTACCACAGTATGATGCAGTCACAGCTGAGTGGGCCAGCCTCTAGCTGGGGCTCGAGAGGAGCGCTGCAGGGGCTCAAGTATTGGTTTTCAAAAAATACGCATCTGTTTTAGCAAGAAGGAATGCCAAAGAACTACTTCTGAAATAGAATTAGGTAATTATAAAAACAGTAATACAAGAATTATAGATAAAACTACAGGATTATATTTTGAGTTCACAAAATATGAAATTAAATAATAAACAGTTTAAAAAAACCTGTCATTGAGTCCATTCTGAGGAAGTACATTGCCAGACCTTTCTTCTGAAGTCCCTCTGGATGGACTAAAGCCCCACCCTTACAGCTAGGAAGCTAGTGCAGTACTTCTGTATCATCCACAGGTTCCCGACACTATAGTCCAAGGTAATCAAATTAAGGAATACAAGAATGACCAATCAACCCAGAAAACTATATATTCAGTTGTGAAGGTACCAACCAAATTCAACCACACCACTAGAAAAATATATAGGAAAAACACAGGTATAAATAAGATACCTACACAGAACCTAAAATTTTAAAGGTAACTATACTCTAGAAAGCAACTCTTTATGGAGCACCATGGACCGATCTATCTTGGAAGAAGTATGGACAGAGAGCTCCTTAGAGGTCAGGATGGTCTTACAGGTTTTGGGCATGTCAGGAGAGGCCAGTCCCTGAAGAATAGCATCATCTTTGGTAGAGGGACAGTGAAAAGGATGAAGGCCCTCAACGAGATGGACTGACACCATGGCAGCAACAATGGACTCAAGCACTGAACAATTATGGGGATGACATAGGGTCCCAGGCAGTGTTTCCTTCTGTTGTGCACAGGGTCCCTAGGGGCTGGAGCCAACGGGATGGCGCCTAACAACAACAAACCTCTAATCTCTAAACAGATTTTAAGGAAGTAGATATTTAGGACTAAGTGATTAACATTTTAAATCTAGATCGGTTCAATATTCAGATCCTTGGATTAGTGAGCCTGTCTGCATATGAAACATTTAAACCCTCTCTTTATCCTTAAAGACTCTGGTGGGCTTTGCTGGACTGCAAACTGAGAAAATACAAAGCACGATGATCAATCTCCTAGCTGTATGAGCTAATGGGTTTTATTAGGCTATCCCGTAAGTCTGCCTGGCTACCAGCTGTTGAAATACTAAAAGCACTCTTTACTTGTACTTTCTTTTCACCTGTAACATTTGGCCCCATATACGCAGGATGTCCTTTTGGCTTTGTCTTCTTCAGAACCTTGTGAAACAGAAACAGAGGACTTTGCATGCGAAGTCTCAGGCTTGGAAGGATCAGAGGCCAACTTGGGAGGAGATCCTTGGGGCTCATCGTGGGAAGAATTGCCTGCAGCACTCAAACAGCTCTCAGAAGAGCTCACTGCCTCATGCATTTTATTGGGTGTTCCTTTAGTGACAGAACTCTGTTCAGAGATTTCATCAAGTTCCTGTATTGGGATTTTGTTTTCCTGTGTGTCAGTCTTCAAATGATTCACCTCTGCATCACTCAGCGTGGGTGCAGAAAGCGATTGTGGTACTTCCTATAAAACAAATCAGAAACAAAACACACTTAAATCTCAAAAGATTAAAACTATAAGAGTCATTCTATAGGTGCATTTTAATAAAACTTTAATTTTAAAAACACCAAGATCCACATTTTAAAGTTATTAAAAATTATCACTATTTGCTAATGTTACAGCATTTTGCAGCTATTAGAAAATGAATTTATAATTATATAAAACTTTAGTCATGTCAACCATACACTAAAAAATAGTTAACTAGTAGAAATGAAGTCATGTGAAATATTTGCTTTTTTTTTTTAACTACTTCTATTGGGAGCTCTTACATCTCTTATCACAATCCATACATTCCTGTAATGTGTCAGGTACATTTGCACATATGCCACCATCATCATTTTCAAAGCATTCTCTTCCCACTTGAACCCCTGATATCAGCTCCCCATTTCTTCTCCCTCCCTCCCTCACGAACTCTTGATAAGTTATAGATTATTTTTTTCCATATCTGACATTGTTTTCCGTTGCCTCTCATCCAATTTTCTGTTATTCGTCCCCCTGGGAAGGGGTTCTAGATTGACGAAATATTTGCTTTCATTTAAACATAATCTTTCCTTAAATAGATACTCTAAATTTTCACTGTTTCACACTGTGTCATGCTCTTAATATCAACTATCTTTTAATATTTTATAGGTTTTTGAAAATACTTTCCAACTTCTTTAGATAATTTACATATAAAGTATATGTAAATACTTTATCTAATAGTGTTTTTCTTTAACTAAATGAAAAAACTGGACCTTCCTGGTAAAAATACTGATAAAAAGCTATGTATGTTATAGCCAACTTGTGTGGGGTAGGGATTCCTCTAAAGTCATCTGACTAAAAGTCTCAGGTGAACCAATTAAAGGGACTTGAGCCAAGCAACCTTGCTCAATAACACTACCAAACTCACTGCCATCGAGTCAATGGCAACTCATCGTGACCCTGTGGGCAGGGTAAAACTCCCCCTGTGAGTTTCTGAGACTCTAACTCTTTGGGAGTAGAAAGCCCTGAGCAGCTGGTGGTTTCAAACTGCTGACCTTGCAGTTAGCAGACCAATTTGTAACCCACTGTGCCACCAGGGCTCCTCTTTAGCACTGTACAGTGAACCCTCGCCACTTCACGCTTCAACTTCCGCGGCTTCACTCTATCGCGGTTTTTGCGTAACAGCGCATGCTCTGTCATTACTGCCACTGATTGGCTCATACTGTACACACTTGATGCCATAAATAACATAATAAATAATAAATGATAATTGTAACGTCCAAAATGTTTTACTGTATTTTCCCTTTTTCGTTAATAAATTGGGTAATACGAGTGTAATGGTGACTAAAGGGTGTTTTTTCATGTCCTCTATGCTCTAACTACAAAAATATTTGATTTACAAATAAGGAATCCTACTTCGCGGAATTTCATTTATCACGGTAGGGTCTAGAACCTATTAACCGCGATAAACGAGGGTTCACTGTAGTCCTATTTTAATTTGTCCTTCCTGTTTGTAGGGCCCTCAGAGTTGATGCTGAGTCATGGTGACCTAGGGTTTTCTGCGCTGCAATCTTTGGGACCTGATGGCCAGGTCTTCCTCCAGCCGAGTCACTGACAGGAACTGAACCACCAATATTACAGTTACTAGGTGAGTGCTTACCAGGACTCCTTCATCTGTGCTTACGACAATCATAAGGAATGGGAGTGAGCCTCATCTTATCCTATTAAAAATGACCTCCTAATTACTTATACTTCTTTGGGAAATAACAACATTGCTTGGAAAACACCAAGTTCTCACAGTAACCATTTTCAGGATGTGATGAAAACACACTAGAGACACGTGAAGGTCCACGCTACTTACAACCAAGGAGCCATGCTTGCTGGCCGCCATTTGGAATCAGCTGGGCTGGGTTTTACTTGATACCGAGCCACTCAGGTTTCTTCAGAGTACTAGTGACCAAATGACTTTCCTTTTTCTAATAATTCACGTGCTTTGACTATTTTCTCAGTGGAACAAGGTGATGTCCGGCTACCACTACCAAGTGCTCCAAAAAGGACTATATCAGAGGATCCAGGATAGAGTGAGTGAGAGAAGAGTCCAATGAAACTCAAACGTAAAAAAGACCAGGTTACGTCACTGCTCAGACAGAGACTTGTGGGAAACACTGAGACTATGCTCCCTATCTCTTTGTAGGTCTGGCATGAATCCCTTCCGTGGCTCCTGTTCAGCAAACAAGAGACAGGAACAGTGAGTGACACTAAGGAGGTACATATACCTTTGAACAATCAACCTTTTGACATAAAAAGGATGGCATTTACCCAAGGACAACGTTCAGGTTAGGAAAGAAGGAGGAAGAGAAACAGGAAAAACATAGAGGAAGTGGGATAAGTGATGTTATATTATGGAAGTTGCAATCAATGAGATGAAACTAAAATTTGTATGAATTATTGAATGAAATCATTCTCTAAAATCTTTACCCAATTCCCAATATAAAGAACAAATTAAAAAATACATATAGTTAGTATAAAATACAATCCAAAATGACCACTGACTTTACAAAGTAATTTACAAGAACCTAAGCCTTATTGTGGTTCTTGTGTAGTAATATAGCATTGCTGCTAGCTGTTGTTGAATTAGTGCCTAACTCATGGCAACTCCATGCACAGTGGAATGAAATGCTGCCCTGACCCGTGCCTTCTCTATAATCAGACCATCATGATGGATATTGTTTTCACTGGCCTCATCTTCAGAAGTAGATCACCAGGCCTTTCTTCCTAGTCCATCTTGGTCTGAAAGCTCTACTGAAACCTATTCAGCATCACAGCAACACCCAGGCTTCCGCTGACAGACAGGTGGCTCACACAAGGAATACTGATTGGGAGTTGCATCTGGACCTCCCTCATGGAACGTGAGAATTCTATCACCAAAACACCAAAGCACCCCCCTCTGGTAACATAAGACCCATAGAAATATAACCAGTCAGCTTTCTCTTACAGCTGATCATCGGGGGTAGCATTCATGCCACATCCCTCTACAACACAGACTCTTTGTTCCACTGTTGCAGTCCTCTCCACAAGACCTCCATCTCATCTCTTCATCACAGGACCAACTGGCACATACCAAAGATTCTAAGATCAGCCTGACCCACCTGTCTACTTACCTCTCACCAATGTTCATTTTCCCTATTCAAAGTAGCAATGGGACAGGTCAGCAAAATCACTGTCTAAGCACGTGGCCAATGAAACACCCATTTCCTGCTTCTGTTGATATCTGAAAACGTCACCAGAATTCTCACAGAACACCTTGCTTCTCTTGGTTTTAGCAAAGGAGGAAATAACTTCATTTCCCACAAATGAGCCAGAATCTACTTGACAACAATGGATATAGCTTAAATCTTTCTTTCCTCTCAGGTCTTTGTAGATAGTCTTATTTTTTAACTAAAAAGGATAACATAGTGGCTATAAGTCCATATAGGTTTAAAAATGAATCTCAATATGCCTGTTTATGTAATTGTAAAAGTCCAAATTAAAAGATTTAGAAAGGTACATGTTAAGATATTAGTATGACATTGGGACTGATGGATGAGGCAAACCGAGCTCTCCATATTTTAATATGTGTGAGAGTTAGATTTTGTGTCACCTTGACTGGAACAGGGTTCTCAGTGGTTTGGGAGGTTACACCAAGGAAGCCCTCACAATAGCAAGCCTCGAGTTGAAATACTGACAATTTCTAAGGGCAAACTATTGGATGATGTAGGAAGTATTCAAAAGAAGACGGAAAGAACACACAGTCACTGTACCAAAAAGAACTAGTTGAAATCCCACCATTTTAAGAGGAAGCATATGAGCCAATGGTATTGAAGGAAGAAGTACAAGCTACACTGAAAGCATTAGCAAAAACAAGGCTCCAGGAATTGATGGAATACCAAGTGAAATGTTTCAACAAGCTGATGAAGCATTGCAATCACTCATTTGTCCATACCAAGAAATTTGGAAAACAGGTACTTGGCCAACTGACTGGAAGAGATCCATATTTGTATCCATTCCAAAGAAGGGTGACCCAACAGAATGCTCAAACTATAGAACAGTATCACTGATACTGCACGCCAGTAAAGTTTTGCTTAAGATCATCCAAGAACGGTTGCAGCAATACATGGACAGGAAGCTACCAGATGTTCAGACCAGATTTGGAAGAGGACATAGAAAAAGAAATAACATTGCTAATGTCAGATAGATCTTGACTCAAAGCAGAGAATACCAGAAAGATATTTACTTGTGTTTTATTGACTATCCCAAGGCATTCCACATTCCAAGATGTGGATCACAACCAACTATGGATAATCTTGAGAAGAATGGGCATCCCGGAACACTTCATTGTGCTCATGTGGAACCTGTAATGATCAAGCTGTGTGAAGAGAAAAAGGGAATGTTGCATGGTTTACATCAGGAATGGAGTGTGACAGGGTTATATCCTCTCACCATACTTGTTCAATCTACATGCTGAGCAAAAAATCAGAGAAGCTGGATTATATGAAGAATGTGGTATCAGGATTGTGGGAAAAGTTATTAACAAACCTGCAGTATGCAACCTTGCTTGCTGAAGGCAAGGAGGGCATGAAGCATTTGCTGATAAAGATCAAGAATCATAGCTTTCTGAAAATGATGGCAACAAATGTACAAATATGTTTGACACAATGGATGTATGTATGAATTGTGATAAGAGTTGTACAAGCCCTCAATAAAATGATTTTTAAAAATAAATAAAGCAAAAAAACAAAAAAAAAGAATCATAGCTTTCAGAGTGGATTATGACTCAATGTAACTAAGACCAAGACCCTCACAAACGGATCAATAAGTAACATCATCATAAATGAAGAAAAGGTAGACACCGTGAAGTATTTTGTCTTATTTGGATCCACAATCAATGTTCATGGAAGCAGCAGTCAAAGGATCAAAGGACATGTTGCATTAGGTAAATGTGCTGAAGGAGACCTCTTCAGGGT